TTGTGGCCCTCCCCAAACCTCTCAATCGTCACCGTCCCCTTCCCCTCCCCCGACGAGACCCACCTCCCCCTCGGCAAAGAGAACTTCTCCTCGATCCCCTCCTCCCTCTTCGACACCTTCACCGGCTCCCTCCGCCTCTTTCGCCCTCTCCTCGAGCCCATCATCGCCAACCGAAACCCTGACTGCATCATCTCCGACTCCCTGACCGCATCATCTCAGAAACTCTTTATTTTTCGCCCAGGGCAAAAAAATTTCCTGGCTACGCCACTGAGACTATGTGTTACCCCTAGCAAAGAGATGTGAGTAGCGTTGACGAATCTCATCCTCTCGCTCCCATGTCGCTTCACCAGGTCCATGGTGTCCCCAATATACAAATACTAGAGGGATAGTTTTATTCTTGAGGATATTCTCCTGTCTGTCCAAAATCTTCATTGATCGCTCCTCATATGATAAGTTCGTCCCAACCTGAAGCTCTATGATGTCTAGGACGTGGGTCTTATCTCGCACATATCATCGAAACTGTGATATGTGAAACACATCATGCACTCTCTGTAATAACGGAGGCAAAGCTAGCCGGTATGTCACCTCTCCTACTCTCTCTAATATCTTAAAAGGACAGATAAAACGTAGACTAAGCTTCCCACGGCTGTCAAATCTGATAACTCCTCTAGTTGGAGATATCTTCAAGAAAACATGTTCTCCAATCTGAAACTGTAGAGGTCTCCTCTTAGCATCAGCCCAGCTCTTCTGTCTATCCGGAGCTGACCTAAGGTGCTTTCGTATTACCTTTATCTTGTCTACTGTCTGTACTATCATCTCAGATCCTAGCAAACGCCGTTCTCCCAAGTCATCCCAACAAGTAGGAGATCTACATTTTCGCCCATATAAGGCCTCATAAGGTGACATCTGAATGCAGGACTGATAACTGTTATTATAAGAAAACTCTATCAAGTGTAAGTGGTCTTCCCAAGAGCCCTTGAAATCCAACATGCATGCCCGCAACATGTCCTCCAGTATATGTATAGTCCTCTCTGATTGTCCGTATGTCTGAGGGTGGTAAGCCGTGCTGTAACTCAGTCTAGTTCCAAGACACTGCTGCAAGCTCCTCCAAAAGTGTGATAAAAATCATGTCTCTATCAGAAATAATGCTAATCGGTACCCCATACAAGCGTACTATCTCCCTCATGTACAGCTCCGCTAAACTCTCCGTCGTCTGTCCAACTCGAAATGGTATGAAGCAAGCCGACTTGGTGAGTCAGTCTACTACTACTCATATGGCGTTATTCCCTTCTGGATCCTCGACAGAGCTGTGACAAAATCCATCGTAACATGTTTCCACTTCCACTCGGGAATAGGAAGAGGCTGCAATAACCCGGCCATCCTCTGATGCTCAGCCTTCACCTACTGACATATTAGACATTTTGACACAAATTTGGCTATCTCCATCTTCATTCATGGCCACAGTAATGTTCTCTCAAGTCCTGATACATCTTTGTGCCTCCTGGATGAATAGAAAGTACTGAACTGTGAGCCTCCTCCAGCAGCTCTCTTCTAACATCGCCCTTAGGCACACACAACCTACCATGGAATCGTAAGGATCCATCCTCATGTATTTGTAGATCAGTTCCAGTATTGTAAATAACGGCCAATAACGGGGCTATAGCGATGCGAATAGCGGTCGCGGCCCTTCAGCGCTACGCGTAGGGGTTTCGCGGCTGGCTTAAGCGGAAAAATCCGCTATTCATTCGAATAGCGCGTAAAAGCAAATTTTAGCAAGTTAAAAGCGGGTTTTCGCGGTTAAAAGGGGATTTTCGCGGTTAAAAGCGGATTTTTGTTGTTAAAACCGGCTAAACCGGCTAAACCCGCTATCACACATATTATGATGCTATATTTCTTGAATTTCTTCATAGTTTCATTCATACAACAAGCTTATTAATTGTTATTTATTAATAATACAAGAAATTTACAACTAACTGAATTTTTAGATTTTTTATGAATTTTCTTATTATTTAGGATATTTAAATATATTTAAATTTGATCGCTATTTGACTGTGTGCTATTTGACTGTGTGCTATTTGCCGCGATTTCGCCGCAATAGCCCGATATAGCCTTAGCGGTACCTCGCCGCGACGCGTCGCGATCCGCTATCAGCAACCTTGATCAGTTCTCTTCCCAAACTCCACTTATTTCTTAAATTTTTGGTACTGAGCATCCTTGAATTTGGTAGCCTTGATCTGGTCCACCAGAGTTGACTGTAAATTCAAACTCATCAACTATCTCCCTGCTCCAGGCAATATAATCTTCATGTTTATCCTCCAAAACTCAGCTAGCAACTCTCGCTGCCTGGTGAGTCTCATCGCCACAGGCTTCATGCTCAAATGATCTGGCACCACATTAACTCGTCCTAGGTGATATCGTAATCAAGATCGTAATATGTCATAAGCTCTAACCATCTCCGCTACCTCATGTTAAGCTCCTTCTGAGTGAAGATATACTTTAAACTTTTATGATCTGTGTACACTTCTACTCTCTGCCCTAAAAGATAGTGTCGCCATAGTTTCAATGCAAAAATAACCACCGTCAATTCCACATCATGAACCAGATAATTCCTCTCATGTGTCTTCAGTTGTCTAGATGCATAAGCTACTATCTTTCCATGTTGCAACAGAACACAGCCTAAACCTAAACCAGAAGCATCTATGTGCACTACAAATCCTCCTGACTCATCCGGGATTGTCTGGTGCTGTCGTCAACTTCTTCTTCAACCTCTTAAATGCTGCTTGATAGTCCCGAGTCCACACAAACTTGACCTCCTTTCAAGTTAGCCTAGTAAGTGTCATGCAATCTTAGCGAAATCCTTTATGAATTTCCTATAGTAGCCCGTCATCCCCAAGAAACTTCGTACTTCTGCCACAGAAGTAGGCGGATCTAACTTTAACATCGCATCAACTTTCTTCGGGTCCACAGAGATACCTGCTTCTGAAATTACATGCCCCAGGAAGGACACGAGCTCCAGCAAAACTCACACTTGTTCAATTTTTCATAGAGCTTCTCCTTTCGCAGGATTTCCAACATTGTTTGTAGATGTTTTGCATGATCTTCCCTGATATTAGAGTATACAAGAATGTCATCGATGAACACTACAAACTGGTCGGAATACTGGAAAAACACCTTGTTCATCAAGCTCATAAATGTAGATGGAGCATTTGTCACTCCGAACGACATCACCAAAAACTCATAGTGCCCGTATCGTGTGCGAAATGCGGTCTTAGGTATGTCTTCCTTCCTCACCTTCAACTGATGATAACCTGATCTAAGGTCCAGCATAGAAAATACCCTAGCTTCTCCGAGCTGATCGAGAAGATCATCACTTCTGGGAATTGGGCATTTATTTTTGATAGTAACTCGATTCAACTCCCTGTAGTCATACATATCCTTCGGCTACCATCCGACTTTGGCACTAACACCATTGGTGCTCCCCAAGGTGAAGTATTAAGCCTGATAAATTTTTTATCGAGATACTCCTGGACTTGCTTTCGTAACTCCTCTAAATCTGCTATCGGCATCCGGTAAGATGATTTTGAAATAGGTGCAAGCCCTGGAAGAAGATCCATGACGAACTCTATATGTCTATCTGGTGGCAGACCCGATAACTTATCAGGGAAAACATCAAGGAACTCAACAATTTCTGGTATGGGCTTCTCCTCTACCTCTATACATGTTAATACTTCATCCATGCCCTGCCCGATACTCTGGCTGCTCCATCACTTTGCTACTGCTCATGAATTCAAACTCTGGATGACATGGTATCTTGAACACTACGCTTCTGTGTCGACAGTCGATCGTCGCATTAAAGTTGTACAGCCAATCCATCCCCAAAATAACATCGAACCCGTTAGTGTTAATCACTAACAAGTCAGCAAATAGCTCCCTACCACAAACTATCACTAGGCATTTCTTACACTCCATACTAGACATTAACACCCCGCTACCTATATGAATATTTCAGATTGCATCTTAAGTATCACATGATATGGTGTGTCGTGCAATGAACTCAGCAGATATAAAACAGTGTGATGCCCCAGAACCAAAGAGGGTAAATGTAAGGACTGAATAAACCAAATGGTACATGTGACTACATCACCAAAGCCATCTGCCTACTCAGCGGTGCCAACATCGTTAATATTTTATGTAAAAGATTGGGGATGGGTTATGCCAATCATTTTCTCTGTAATAATTTTGTCTGTGAACTCATCTTATGATTCATGAAGACTTCTCTTATGAAGCCATTACACTCATGCCAAAGATATCAATGTCTGTATCGAACGGATGGACATCCTCACATGCTGGTACACCCTTCGACACTATATGATCACTAGTCGTGAACACCATGCAAAGCACGACATATCATTTTTTCTCGCTACACTAATCCTGATTTTTTAATGCTGTAGTAAAATTTTTAGATTTTTTGAATTGCTACAGTTCCCGCTCTGCTACAGTATTCCCATGTGCTACCGTGATATTTTATTTAAAAATTGCTACAGTGTCTACTTTCATGTTTACTATAGTAATAATGTTATAATAAATGCTACTGTAGCATGAATAGTGAATCTTGGGTTCTCCCATTTGTATAGAGGAGTACATATGTCAGACAATTTTCAAGTGTGTCCTCAATTACATGAAATACTTTAATCAAGGAAACTTGTTAAATACTTTTTGGGTACATGTCTTATCTCCCATATACTTATTCATGTTACATATTTGAGATGTTTATTTATTTTTATTTAGACATGAGACAATGTATTAATAGGAAAAAAATTGTTAATAACTACCAAAAAAGACTGTTAACATATTGACATGAATTAGACTATGGACAAACTTGTTATGTTTCAAAGATGATACATTTACTAATACTTGGAAAATTGAAAAACTAGGACTTCTTTTTTGCAAAGTGATTGAAGAATGCAATGACCAAAGTTTAGAATATATTTACTTGTATGTTTTACGTCATTAGAAATACATGTTGGACTTGGATGCATGGATTTGTCTATGTATAAAACGTGTAGACAAACTCTTCTAGTATTCATATAAATTCTTGTGTCATGTCATTGTATCCAATTATCCATCGTCTTACTTTCTATAGGATTTATGTGTTTTGTACCCATAATTTACTCGTCCTAGTCTTCCTTGTCCTATTTCAGTCTCCCTGCATTTTAGAGCTATACTAAGAACCTTTTACACGTAATTACTATATCTTTTTTCCTTCTCTTTTCTTGTCTTTTCATTTTGCGGAAACCTTAGATCATATTTATTTAATTTCCATAATCGTACCCACATTTCAACTACATTCCTATAAATGCTAACTAGAATGCTCGTTTGACTCAACACATGCAGTCAATAACGTCAATGATTCTTTCTCATCTTCCTCTCAATTGAAGCATCCTGTAACTTCTTCTAACTGCACTCAATTATCACCCCCTTTAACATAATGTTGCTTGTCCATCTCAGCATTTTAGCTCCATTCTTTTCGGACAAGTTTCGCAACTATCTAGCATTATGACAACAAAGTACAGATTTCCATATAACTGTCTTAGAAAATATTTGCTCCAATTTCCCCACTATCAATAACCCAGGGCATTTGTACGTATTAAGCCTTCAAATTTAACTAAACTGCATCCTTCAAAATCTTACATGATGATGGATTTTAATGAGGTTCTTACTATTGAACATTGCTATTACAATAACATCCACAAATAACTTCATTAGATTCCGCATGAACTAGATATGCTTTGTTAACATTCTATACACTAACATGGCGTAGTTTCTATAGAACCAAATCAAACTGATTTTTTCAATGTAAAGGTGGCTTCCTTCCAGCATCTCCTAATAGAAGAGAGAATGTGTTCATTATTCTATGCCCATTGCAGAATAGTTTGAACTTTGATCTCCTTTTCACATGCATTACCAACTCATCCTAATTCCTTTTATCAAAGTTGTTCTTCAAGATTTGGTAGCTTCACGTCACATGTTTACTTGAGGTGTATCAAAATCATAGATTCTTTCCAATTGAATATACATTGATTAACTTGACTAAAAGGATTTTTCCATTTGAATCTGAAAGCTGTAATATGTTCAGTATAAACTTCATATTCATGCCAGCGAGGTATTAACATCCCAACTTTATCTCAAAAACTCAAAATAAAGTAGGTGCAATAAGTTCGCTCTTACCACATTAGTATTATCATGAATGTCTATGAAAGGAGTTAAAAGTTCACTGTCATATTACTTCTATGAATCAGCTGCTTAATTTGATAGGAATATGCTCCTCAATGATTCTTATGTATGTACAAACAATGAATTAAGACTGTTAAACAGGTATTGAAGAGAACTCTGATTTCTTGATTATGTGTTTGGGTAGATTACAAGCTATATATAGATTACACAATATAATATGAGCTGAACGGTAGGTAGCACTGTAGCTAGCGCGGCCATAGGGCGGTGGCACTGTAGCCTAGGCCGGTGGTGTTGACATTAACAGCCGGAGATGATGACTTTAACAGCCCCCCTCAAAGTCACGGTGGATTAAAAACCGAGAGTTTGGATAAGAAGGAACGAAATTGAGAGATTGTTTGAGCCTTGGTAAACAAATCTGCAACTTGATCCTTAGAAACAATATATGTGAGTGTAATGTTTCCAGCAACATGCTCCTGTCGAACCACATGACAATCTACTTCAATATGTTTGGTACGCTCATGAAAGACCGGATTTGTGGAAATGGAGATGGCACTCTGATTATCACAATATAAAGTGATAGGGGAAGTAATAAAGACATCAAGATCTCGCAGAAGAGTGCGGAGCCATTTTAGCTCAACTGTGGTGTCTGCCAACGCCCTGTACTCGGACTCCGTACTAGAACGAGAGACAACGGCTTGACGTTTACTACGCCAAGAGATGGGAGATGATCCCAGAAAAATACAAAAGCCAGTAGTGGAACGCCGAGTGTCCGGATCATCAGCCCATCCAGCATCAGAATATGCACGAAGAGATAAAGATGAGTCTGAGGGGAAAAATAATGACTGGGTGATAGTGCCACGTAGATATCGAAGAACCCGAATGAGAGCTGCATAGTGGATGGAAGTCGGATTACTGACAAACTGGCTCAAGATGTGTACTGCATAGGCGATATCCGGACGTGTTGCTGAAAGATAAACCAATGCTCCAAACTGGCTCAAGATGTGTACTGCATAGGCGATATCCGGACGTGTTGCTGAAAGATAAACCAATGCTCCAACAAGTTCCCTATATCGAGTAGGCTGAGATAAGGGATCACCATCATCATGTCGAAGCTTCAAGTTCATTTCCATCGGTGTGGAGAGAGGAGAGGTAGCAATAGAAGGATCACTGAGAGTAGCTCGCTCAAGAATGTCTGCAATGTACTTCTGCTGAGAGAGAAGATAGCCTCGGGAGGAGGAAGCAACCTCAATACCCAAGAAGTAACGAAGGGATCCAAGATCTTTCATCTCAAATTGTCTCTGAAGATGCTGCTTTAAGGAAGTAATGGCAGAAGAATCACTCCCAGTGATTATCATGTCATCAACATAAAGTAATAGAATGACTGTACCGGAGGCTGAGGACCGATAAAATAGAGCGTAGTCAGCTAGGCTCTCAATGAAACCAATAGAAAGAAGAGATTGCCGAAAGCGCTCAAACCAAGCCCGAGGAGCCTGTTTGAGACCATATATAGCACGACGAAGGCGACATGCATGTCCTAGAGGAGCAGAAAAACCAGGAGGCGGCTGCATGTACACTGTCTCAGATAGATCGCCATTAAGAAAAGCATTTTTAACATCCATTTGATACAAAGGCCAATGTTTTGCAGCTGCAACAGCAATGAGAGTGCGAATAGATGTCATTTTTGCAACAGGAGCAAAAGTTTCTTCATAGTCAATGCCATACTCTTGTGAGAATCCCCGAGCTACAAGACGAGCTTTGTACCTCTCAATAGAACCGTCAGATCGAGTCTTAACCTTATAAATCCATTTGCAGCTTATCGGTTTAACACCGGAAGGCAGAGGAACAAGGTCCCAAGTATTAGTCCGACGAAAAGCCTCCAATTCTTCAGTCATTGCTTGTTGCCATTCTGGATACTTAACTGCCTCAGAATATGAGTTAGGTTCATGTATAGAGTGAATAGCAGCAAGAAAAGAGGCAAATTCAGGAGAATATGTGCTAGTGACACATTGAGCATACCGAGCAGGGGGATGACGATCTCGTGGAGGATTGCGGCGAGGGGGAGGAGTCACATCGGGAGAAGCTGGCACAGATGTAGAGGGGACATCAGTAGGAGTATCTTGCTGCAAAGGAGATGTAGTAGGTGGATGTTCAGGTGGTGTGGATGAATCAAGAACACTATCGTTTGATGCCATTGGAGTGAAGGAGGGAGTCGGTTGAGTAGACAAAGGTACAGGTACTACTGATACAGGTATAGTAGTGGAAGGTAATGAAGGGGGTTGAAGAAATGAGATATCTGAATCTGAAGTAGTATAATATGAAATATTCTCAAAGAATGTCACATGACGGGCAATACGAAGCCTTCGAGTGGTAGGTTCATAACAACGATACCCCTTGTGAACAGTGCTATAGCCAAGAAAGATACATCGTGCAGTGCGTGGAGATAGTTTATCTCGTTCATGAGTTGGAAGTAGGACAAAACAGACACATCCAAAAGTGCGAAGAAGAGAATAGCGAAACTGAGATTTAAAAAGTTGAAAATATGGAGAAGTGTCAGCTAATACAGAAGATGGAGTAATATTTATAAGGTAAACAGCAGTCAGAAGTGCTTCTGCCCAGAGATATCGAGGTACAGATGCTGATATCAGAAGAGCTCTAGTGGTATCGAGAATGTGACGATGTTTTCTCTCAGCAACACCATTTTGTTCATGAGTGTGTGGACAAGATTGTTGAGAGAGAGTGCCATGCGATTTTAAAATAGATTGCATTGCTGAAGAGATATATTCACAGGCACCATCAGAGCGAAATATCTTTATACGTTTATGAAACTGGGTGTGGATCATATTTGTAAAGTCTTTATAAATATTTAGAATATCAGAACGAGCACGCATGAGATATACCCAGGTGTAGCGAGAATAGTCATCAATAAAACTGACATAATATCGATAACCGGACAATGATGGTAATGGGGCAGGTCCCCAGATATCAGAATGAATCAAATCAAATGGGGCTAAAGAAATTTTATTACTGGATGAAAATGGTAGGGCAATTTGTTTAGCTAATCGACACCCAGTACAGTTTGATAAAGTAGAGAATTTTAAATTTCCTAATACTCTTGATTCAGATAAAAGTTTTAAAAGAGAACCAGAGATATGACCCAAGTGACGATGCCACATATCAGAAATAGAGAGCCCATGGCAAATGTTGGATGGAGTGGAAAGATGTGGAGACTCCAACTGATAAAGTCCATTAGCTCTACGACATGTCCCAATCTTCTAGCTAATGTAATCATGGACAACACAACATTTATCATTAAATGGGATAGTACAATTAGAATCTGTAATTTTCCCAATGGATAAAAGTTGTATAGATAATTTGGAAATATGAAGAACAAATGATAATGTTAGACGACCAGAACTATCAGAATTTGGAGTAATATCACCTAACTGAGAGATGGTAAGGGGAGTGTCATTAACAGTACAAATGCATAATGAAGAGGGAGCATGGGAACAATTTGTAAAAACAGAGTTATCAAAGGTCATATGATGAGATGCACCTGAGTCGAATATCCAAGGAGTAGAAGTACCAGAATGAGCAGACAAGGCAGTAAAATCTGAACTGGAGGCAGTTCCACTTAGCCCAAGATTCTTGGTTATTAATGCAGTAATCTCTGACAACTGCTCAGAGGAGAGAGGGCTAGAAGTCTGCGGCCTTTGAGGAATAGGGCTAACATCAGCCGAAGCAGCAAATGGAGATCGAGTCTTCTCAGGTGTCGGACGGGGTGGTCTCTTACGACATTTATCAATAAGATGACCCGGCTTCTTACAATAACGACAGTATAGTTGCCGATTAGAATCAGATGTGCTGTTAGAAGGCCCCCGATAGGAAGAGAATTTCTGAGGAGTACCTAGTACAATATGTGATGAGGGTAATGGTTGAGATGCAATAACTGGAGGGGAGAGCATCTGAAGGCGCGTCTCTTCAGATATGAACTCAGCCACAGATTCACGGAGACTGGGGAGAGGACTACGATGAAGAATGTGTCCACGTAAGCTTTCGAACTCAGAGCGAAGGCGCATGACAAAGTGATACAACTGTTGACGGTCACGTTGTTTCTGGAATGCTGTGGCAAAGTCTGGAAGCGTCTCAGGAACATGTTCCTCCATCATCTGCAATTCCTCCCAGTAGCCTGATAATAAGGAATAAAATTCTTGAATAGACCGATCACCCTGACGTGCATCCTGAAGAGCTTGGTGAAGTTGATACTCACGAGCAGCACCAGTCTGAACAAACATGCGACTGAGAGCTAGCCATTGCTCACGTGATGAAGATGCTCGGCCAAGGGAGAGCCGAATAGGAATAGCTACAGAACGCATAATATATGCCATTATTTGTTGATCAGTACGAATCCACTGAGAATAAGTGATCTGAGAGTCATCAATAGTGGAATCACCAGAAGTGACTTCTGATATGGAGGATGTAGATAACGAAGGCATAGTAACAGTTTTGGATGGACAACAAAGAGATCCGTCAATATAACCCCATAGTGCGAAAGCTCGAAGATTATACTGCATAGTAAGAGACCATGCAGTGTAATTTTCGGTATTTGTAAGTTGCACATCAATGGGTGGAAAGGTGTAGAGTCCTTTCTTGTCCATGGGACTGATTATATATATATTTTTTTTTTTTGGAAAAATTTTTTTTTTTTTTTTTTTTTTGTTTGTAGATGGGCCTGAAGAGATAAAAGATGGGCCTGAGATGAAAGATTCTTTTTTTTTTGTTTGTGGATGGGCCTGAGATGAAAGATTCTTTTTTTTTTTTGTTTGTAGATGGGCCTGAAGAGATAAAAGATGGGTTTTAACAGATAAAAGATGGGGAGGTGTCAGCGGAGCTTCTGCTTGAAAATATCTAAGGAAATTAGATCTCAGCGGATCTCTGGACGCGGAGCTTCTGTTTGAAGACCACTGGGGCTTCGGAGCTCTGGGCGCGGGAGAGACGAGGAGGAGCAGTCGCCGAGGCTCTTCGGTGTTTCGATCGGGTCGAAGCTGGCGCGAGATGACGGAAGCGGGGATCCGATAAAGAGGACGAGTTCGGATCCGGGTCCGAACGTGAAATCTGAACCGTTGGATTCGGGTCCAGATCCGCGAAGCGAGGGCGACAATGAGGGTCTCGATGAAGAGGGTCGACAATGAGGGTAGCTGATTTGAGGGCGACGAGTTCGATGGCGGCTGACGGGTTCGATGGCGGCCTGAATCGACGACGAGGGCAGCGTGCTACTACGACGACGAGGTTGGGAGATGACCACGGCTGGAGCTGGGGATAATTTGTGAATTGTGCTCTGATACCATGTTAAACAGGTATTGAAGAGAACTCTGATTTCTTGATTATGTGTTTGGATAGATTACAAGCTATATATACACAAGATTACACAATATAATATGAGCTGAACGATAGATAGCACTGTAGCTAGGGCGGCCATAGGGTGGCGGCACTGTAGCCGTAGGCCTGTAGCCGTAGGCCGGTGGTGTTGACATTAACAGCCGGAGATGATGACTTTAACAAAGACGTCATCAAGTATGGCATTACGCTATCTGCATACGTTTACTACACACGGATATGAATTTGGCCCGGATAAAAAGTCATATTTGTATCCACAAAATCGGATACATATCTGGATTAGATGTAGGACAACAAATACAAAAACACATTGAATCATGAAGAAAATGAGCATGACTAAAAGTATAAAAGGCCAAGTTATATAGGAATAGTCTAGATAAACAAAATCACTTAAATCAGAGTCTGTCAATGTGTCTAATACACCCAAAAAACCTAGGGTTAGTCATTGAGCCTTCAAATCGTCTTTAGATACTAATCTAAGACAAAAGTTACTTCAATTGTCTGATCAGCACAGATATCAAAATATTTATATTTGAAAATAATCCAAAAAGAACAATATATGTATTCATATAATAGGATATGGACATATCAGTATCTGAGAACATGGATATATCTGCAGATATTCGTACCCGCCTGCTTTTCTATTGAGGTATATGGTTGATGAAATCAGTTTTATTTAAATTAAAACGAGACTGGAGTATGTACAAAATCCCTTTTCATAAACTAGGGGGTTAACTAATTTTGGTGATGGTTTGGAAAGAATTGTCAAAGGCTTGATTTCTGAAAAGTGATTTTCGCTAAATCTTTTCTTAAATAAGGAATGGGGTTTAGATCCACGCATAGGGTCACAGTGGAATTTGCCAAGTCCCGGTTTCAGAAACATCAATTATTGTGAACAATAGTTTAGAAAACTCTATTTGACACTGAATTGGTCTTTGGGGTTTCGGGTTGTAACCTTACGGAACTCAGGTTTGCCTAACTAAACCTCATCCAAATGAAACTAGATTCTTTTCTACGGATGAGTGTCCACACAGACAAATCCTAAACCTATTCATTTCTAATTGGTAATTGCTTTGGCGGAACACATTATTCTCTGATATATTACTGGAATGGTGGAACCCATAAAAAAGTAGTCCCACTGTCGGGGATCACATGAAGGCTTATTCTAAAGGATTTTGGAGGAAGAAATTAGCATCAGAGAATTTCTAGTTTTATTAGTCTTTACTCTTGAATTTGTTTTATTTAAGATATTTTTATTTGTTTAGGTATATGCTTTAGTTAAAAATGGACCAGGACTGAAAGGTTTAGTTTCCCTGAAATTCTAGCTTAGTGAAAATTAGAAAATTTAATTCTTTTAAATTGGATTCGTTGGGTCTTCAATTACACATCACTGTACTATTTTTCTTTGGTCAATCGATTAATTATTTCATAAATTGAATGCTTTTAGTGATGAATTGCATCATTGGTGTGAAACCATGTTATAAACTCATAAGCTATTTCTTTTTGTACATAATGATAGTGCAAAGTACAAATTTATAGCTAACATACAATTTCAGACCTGAACTTCATAGTTACTTGCATTAGTTGGTTAGATTGCAAGTGATATCATTGTTGTTTTAAGGTTCTTTATTGAGTGCATGTATATCGGTTTAGGATCTATCAATATCTAGATGAAGCATGGGATTGCTTTAATCTGCATCTATGTTGCATGAGTACTTCTATCTGAACCCGTGTAGTAGGGGTATTGTACCCATACCGGACACTGAAATTTAAGTGGACACTCCTTGGATATACGCATACACCTGTTCAAATATGTATTCAATTGTAATATGCTTATCTTTAAAACACTCATCACATGGACGTGTATCCTACATTTCATATACAAAACTCGTTCGATAGGGGTCGGGCTCCAGCATGTACCAAGTTTAGAATTATTATTCTAAAGTGTCTTTTGGATATCTGGTTCAAAATGAGCAATTTTCTAATTTATAAATCTATATAGTAAAAGAAACAAAAATGTTCTAGAAATTTTAATTTTCATAATACGTGAATGAAAAAAATAATACAGATATGTATAGGCTTATAGCCATGTCACCATACCATACCTTTTATAAATTTGCCATGCCCGTACCCATGTTTGGACAAGCATCCACATCCGGTAACTTAATCTGTGTGATTTATGTGTATTTTTCATGGATCATCCCATTTACTTGTCCCTGTATCATTCCCTTCCACAAAATCTCATACTAGTTGCTCTCATTCTTAAATTATAAAATAGAGCAATATGACTCTAATTTCCTCAAGGTAAAAGTCATGCGAAACGAGACACAAGAAGAAATATCAATTACTTAACTGGAATGTCCAAATGTCATGGTTCCTAAAGGCAAAGCTCAAATAATTGCATTTAAAGCACGTATAGAAAATACATAAAGCTTCAAGGAACAGATAATAGAACAAGAGTAAGTACGTTGGAACAGAAATGCATATATCAGTTCATGTAGTTTAAGGAGAAGCAACAAACCGCAGCTTCTGGGAGATCAAATCACACTGTCAGAAAATAATTTTATTGTACCAGGATATACATAGCCGATAATGTTTTCCATTCAGATATCTGGCTGCGTTTCGTGCCAGCCTATAACGAATGCAACCTTTCTGATCCAGTCTTTCAACAAAAGGATCAACATACTGCCAACACAATAAAAATGATAATTCATCATGTGAGAAGATCTATATATGATGGAACAAGACGAAAGAAAAAGAATCATGATTACCATACTCAGTTGATCCGAATAGACAACAATTTCATAGAATCTAACAAGGTGTTCCAAGAAAGCATCAACACCAGGCCTTTTAAATGTTCTCCAACCCCTCTCACGCTTCAGTAGGAACATAATTTAAATATCAGATCTAACCCTTAAAGAACTATACTCAACAAACGAAAGGAGCTCAGAATAAGTATGTGATGTAAAAGAATATGGAACATCTATGTTACAACATGAAAAGGAGAAAAATGAAAATAGAAGGGGTGGGTGATTACATACCTTCCGATCTGAGTGTACTAGAGTCTCGTTGATGTCAAGAACAAGAGTAAGTACATTCTGTTCTTGAGGGGGTAAATCCGGAAGAAGCTTCTCCGATAATGGCTCAGTATAACCCTGAAGACAATATATGAAATCGAAAAAATTACTGGAACTTAAAAAAACAACCATATCTTCTTTGTTAAGTGTCAAAAATATGCTGATATTGCTGAAAAGTCAGAAACCTGAATTTGCTCTTCAATCATCCTTCTCATATCAATGTCAAGCTGCTCAATAGACTTCGCAGAAATTACAATTTCAGGAAAAGAGACAAAGATATAATGAGAAAAAGCATATCTTTGACAATCAGAATCTACCATTTCAGGGAACTGCAGTTTCAGCTTTCTGTTCATGGTGATATTGAAGCAGATGAGGACCTGTTTTATATTGCTTTGTGCTTATGGTTTATTGTCAAAGATATCACCCAGAACTGTGAGTTCAATCGTTTTGCCGAAACGTGCCTGGCTGACGATGAAAACTAGAGGTTTAATTAGGGGGTGTTTGTTTCACCAAAAATTTTGGCATTTGGTATGGATTACAAGTTTTGGGATTAAAAATTGAGTTTTTTCGTATTTTAGGATTCCAATATATGGTGTTTGTTTTAAAAAAATTGATGATTCGAAATCGAAATTGCCAGCAAACTCCTCAACTTCTCATCCACTTCACCCAGGGAATGCGCTCTACGAGGGATTAGCATATGTCAGCACGCATACATATGTGTAGATAAGGGCTGTTTGGATCCGTTTTTTGGATCGGTAAAAGGGAGAAAGCTGCCAAAAATATCAGCTTTTTGTAGCTTTCCCTCAAAATCGCTTTTTAGGGCGCGTTTGGTAAAAATTTTTTACCTGGGGAGGGGGCGGAAACCCTGCTTTCCCCTTCCAAAAACCGGAACCAAACAGCCCCTAAAGTTTCGGTGTCAATTGTAAGATGGGGCCTCTCTTATAATTAATTATAATTAGTTAATTAAAAAAAGGGTTGGGGTAATATAGCTTAGAATGGAATGACTAGCACTAGGCACGTAAAGTGGAATCAGCCCAAGAGAATCCATGGGGGTGTGCAGCTGGTCGACGTTGGTGCGCGCAGTGGATTGAAGAAATAATAAAATTTAAAAGGGTAGTAAAGAATAGGGGCTTTAATTGATTGAAGAGAAATAAAAGATGCAGCTTAGGTCTAGGGTTTAACAGAAAGGGGTTTTAGTTTCTTTTTCTCTTAATTAGAGGCTTGAGGCGTAGAAGAAGAAGAAAATAAAATAAAACAGGAGCGATGATAAGGACAAATTTTCAAAACCAACCTATTTGGATTTTTATTCCCAAAAAACGACCCCACTCAGTTTTATTTGCAAAAACCGACCTGGTTTCAGCCTCAGCGCTGAAACCAGGTCGGTTTTTGAAAAAAACTCTCCGAAATTTCACGGGAGTTGAACTCCCGTGAAGTTTTTTTGTACTATGAAACTTCACGGGAGTTCAACTCCCGTGAAGTTTCGGAGAGTTTTTTTCAAAAACCGACCTGGTTTCAGCGCTGAGGCTGAAACCAGGCACCACAGAGCAGAGATGGAATAATTTGTGGAATTTGCCTTGATACCATTGTTAAACAGGTATTGACGAGAACTCTGATTTCTTGATTATGTGTTTGGATAGATTACAAGCTATATATACACAAGAATTAACACAATATAATATGTAGCTGAGCGATAGATACACTGTAGCTTAGTGGCGGCCATTATTATGTGTTGGCGTGCACTGTACCGTATTTGGCCCTGTAAGCCCTGTAGTGCCGGTGGTGTTGACATTAACAGCCCGGAGATGATGACGTTTAACAAGACGTGCATCTAAGTAATGGCTTAACGCTATCTGGCATACGTTTTACTACACACGGATATGAAACTTTGGCCCGGATAAAAGTCATCTTTGTATCGGCAGCAAAATCGGATACATATCTGGATTAGATGTAAGGACAAAGAAATACAAAAAACATTGAATCATGAAGAAAATGAGCATAGACTAAGTATAAAAGGCCTAGTTATATAGGAATAGTCTAGATAAACAAATCCTTAAATCAGAGTCTGTCCAATGTGTCTAATACACCACAAAAAGCTTCTAGGTTACGTCATTGAGCCTTCAAATCGTCTTAAGATACTAATCTAAGACAAAGTACTTGCAATTGTCTGATCAGCACAGATATCAAAATATTTATATTTGAAAATAATCGGCAAAAAGAACAATATATGTATTCGATATAATAGGATATGGACATTATCAAGTATCTGAGAACATGGATATTATATGCAGTAATTTCGTACCGCCTGCTTTGCTATTCGAGGATACTATGCGTTTGAATGAAATCAGTATTTATTTTAAATTAAAAACGAGACTGAAGTATGTACAAAATCCCTTTTCATAACTAGGGGGTTAACTATTTTGGTGATGTTTGGAAAGAATTGTCAATAGGCTGATTTTCTGAAAAGTATTTTCGCTAAATCTTTTCTTAAATAAGGAATGGGGGTTTAGATCCAGCGCATAAGGTCACAGTGAATTTTGGCCAAGTCCGGTTTCAAGAAAACATCAATTAATTGTGAAACAATAGTTTAGCAAAACTCTATTGACACTGAATTGGTCTTTGCGGTTTCGGGTTGTAACGCTTACGGAACTCAGGCTTTGCCTATAACTAAACCTTCATCCAAATTGAAACTAGATTTTTTCTAACGGATGAGTGTCCACACAGACAGAATCCTATAACCTATTCATTTCTAATTGGTAATGCTTTGGGCGAACTAATTATTACTCTGATATAGTACTGTGGAATGGTGAACGCCCATTTGAAAAGAAGTAAGTCGCCACTGCTCGGGTGATCACATGTGAAAGGCTTATTCTAAAGGATTTGGAGGAGGGGTGGAAAAAGGGAAAAAAAAAAAAAAAGGGAAAAAAAAAATTTAGCATCAGAGAATTTCTAGTTTTAAATTTAGCTTGAGCTCTTGAATTTGTTTTATTTAAGATATTTTTTATTGTGTTTAGGTATATCTTTGAGTTAATAAATGGACGCAGGACTGAAAGGCCTCTTAGTTTCCGCTGAAATTCGTGAGCTTAGTGAAAAATTCAGAAATTTAATCTTGTTAAAATTGGATTCGTTTGGGTCTTCAATTACCACTCACTGTACTATTTTTTCTTTGGTCAATCGGATTATTATTTTCATAAATTGAATTGCTTTTAGTGATGAATTGCCATCATTCGGTCGTGTAAGCCATGTTCAATAAACTCATAGCTATTTCTTTTTGTATCTAATGATAGTGCAAAAGTAGCAAATTTTATAGCTAACATACAATTTCAGACCTGAACTTCATAGTTACTTGCGCATTAGTTGGTTAGATTGGCAAAGTGATATGCATTGTTGTTTTAAAGGTTCTTTATGAGTGCCATGCTATATCGGTTAGGATCTATCAATATGTCTAGATGCAAGCATGGGATTGCTTTAATCTGGCATCTATCGTGTTGCATGAAGTAGCGTTCCTATGGCTGAACGCGTGTGAGTAGGGTATTGTAAGCCGCATACCGGACACTGAAATTTACAAAGGTGGGACACTCCTTGGTTACGCAATACACCTTTTCAAATATGTATTCAATTGTAATGATGCCTTATCTTTAAAACACTCATCGACAATGGACGTGTATCCTACATTTTCATATACAATAACTCGTTCGATAGGGTGTCGGGCTCTCAGCGATGTACAAGTTTAGAATTATTATATGCTAAAGTGTCTTTTGGATATTGGCGTTCAAAATGAGCAATTTTCTAATTTATAAATCTATATAGTAAAAGGAAACAAAAATGTTCTAAGAAATTTTACATATCTCATAATAAGTAGAAATGAAAAATAATTAGCAGATATGTATAGGCTTTATCAGCCATGTCACGCATTACGCTACCTTTTTATAATTTGCCATGCCCAGTACCCAATGGTTTGGACAAGCATCCACATCCGGTAACTTAATGCTGTGTGCGATTTATGTGTATTTTTCATGGATCATCCGCATTTACTTGTCCCCTGCTATGCATTCCCTTCCACAAAAATTCTATACTAGTTGCTCTCATTCTTGAAATTATAACAATAGAGGGCAATATGACTCTTAATTTGCCTCAAGGTAAATAGTCAATTGCGAAACGAGACACAAGAAGAAAAATAATCAATTACTTAACTGGAATGTCCCAAAGTTCATGGTTTCAAAGGCGCAAGCTCATAATATTGCATTTAAAAGCACGTATAAGAAAATACATAAAGCCTTATCAAGGAACAGCATAATAGAACAAGAGTAAAGTAGCGCATTAGGAACAGAAAATGCATATATCAGTTCATGTAGTTTAAGGAGAGCAACAAACCGGCAGCTTCTGGGAGATCAAATCACACTGTCAGAAATAATTTTATTGCTACCAGGATATTACATAGCCCGATAATGGTTTTTCCATTCTAGATATCTCTGGCTGAGCAGTTTTCGTGCCAGCCTATAACCGATATTAGCAACCTTTCCTGATCCAGTCTTTCAACAAAAGAAGATCAACATTACTGCCAACACAATAAAAATGATAATTCATCATGTGAGAAGATCTATAATATGATGGAACAAGAACGATAAGAAAAAAGAATACATGCATTACCATACTCAGTTGATAACGAATAAGCACAACAAATTTTCATAAATCTAACAAGGTGTTCCATTAAGAAACATAAACAGCCCATGTTAGGCCTTTTAATGCTTCTCTGTCAACGCCCTCTCACGCTCTCAGTAGGACATAATATTTAAATATTCAGATCTAACCGACTTACAAGACTATACTCAACCAAACGAAAAGGAGCCTCAGGAATATAGTATTGTGATGTAAAATAATATGGAACATCTATGTTACAACATGAAAGGAGAAACAATGAAAACTAGTAAGGGTGTGTGCAGGTGATCTACATACCTCTTCCGATTCTGAGTGTACTAGATGTCTCGTTTGTATGTCAGAAGCGAAGAGTAAGTTTACATTCTGTTCTTGAGGGGTAAATCCGAAGAAGCTTCTCCAGATAATGGCTCAGTAATAACCTCTGAAGACAATATAATATGAAACATCGAAAAAAATTACTAAGGCTATTAAAAAACATACTCATATCTATCTTTGTTCAATCTGTCAAAATTATGCGTGCATATTTTGCCTTGAAAAGTCAGTATAACTGAATTTGCATCTTATCTATCCTTCTCATATCAAAATGTCACAGCTGCTCAATAGACTTCGCAGAAATTACAAATTTCAGCAAAAGCAGACAACAGATATAATGCAGAAAAAGCATAATCTATTGACAATCAGAAATCTACAGCCACATTTCAGGGACTGCAGTTCAGCTTTTCTGTTCAATGAGTTGATATTGAAGCAGAATGAGGACCTGTTTTATATTGCTTTGTGGCTTACTGGTTTATTGTCAAAGATATTCACCCAGAGACTGTGGGTTCAATCGTTTTGGCCGAAACGTGCCTGTCAGACGATGAAAACTAGAGGTTTAATTAGGGGTGTTTGTTCACCAAAAATTTTGGCATTTGGTATGGCATTTTACACAGTTTTGGGTTATTAAAAATGAGTTTTTTTCGTATTTTAAGGATTCCAATATATGTGTTTGTTTTAAAAATTGATAGATCGAAATCAGGATAATTGCCAGAGACAACTCCTACAACTTCTCATCCACATTCATCCCAGGGGAATGCCGGTTAATTTGGGAATTCTTAATGACTTCTTTCGTTTCCGGGAGATTAGCATATTGTCAGCGACGCATACATATGTGTAGAATAAGGCTGTTTGTGGATTCCGTTTTATTGGATCGGATAAAAAGGGAAGAGCTGCCAAAAAATATCAGCTTTTTTTGAGCTATATCCTCGGCTAAAAATCTCGCTTTTTTAGGGCGCGTTTGGGTAAAATTTTTTTACCTGGCGCGTAGGGGGCGACAGGCTGCCAAATTGGTGGGCGCTTACTCCCAAAACCCTCTTAAAGAGGCGTTTGGCGCTGGAGAAAGCTGCGCACACATTGGCAAGCTTTCGCCCCCCCTATTCATATAGCTCTAAGGCGCAAAAAACTAAAACAAACGCGCGGCCTTATAGAGGCGGCGATTTTGGGGTGAAGCTGTTCTAAAAATATCTACATTTTTGATGCAGGCTTTCCCTGCTGTTCCCCTTACAAAAACCGGTAACCTAAACAGCCTCCTAAAGTTTCGCGGTGTCATTGTAAGATGGGGCCTCTCCTTATAATTATATTATAATTAGTTAATTAAAAAAAACGGGTTGGGTGATAATATAGCTGTAGGAATGGGAATGACTAGCACTTTAGGCGCACGCTAAGTGGAGAATCAGCCAAGAGTAATCCATGGGGGTGTGCAGCCTGGTCGATCGTTGCGTGCGCGCAGTGGATTGCAAGAAATAAATAAATATTAAAAGGCTGGTAGTAAAGAATAGGGGCTTTAATTGATTGAAGAGAAATAAAAGTGCAGCTATAGGGTCTATGGGTTTAACAAGAAAGGAAGTGGTTTTTAGTTTCTTTTTTCTCTATATTAAGAGGCTATGAGGCGTAGAGAAGAAGAAATAAAATAAACATGGAGCGATGAATAGGGACAATTTTCAAAACCAAAACCTATTTGGATTTTTATTCCCAAAAAAAGACGCCCACCAAGTTTTATTTGCAAAACCGGAGCCTGCGTTTCACCAGCCTCAGCGCTAAACCAGGTCGGTTTTGAAAAAAACCTCTCCGAAATTTCACGGAGTTGAACTTCCCTGCGCGTTGAAGTTTTTTTGTACTATGAAACTTCACGGCGAGTTCAAACTCGCGTGAAGTTTCGCGCAGAAGTTTTTTTCAAAAACCGAACACTACGGTTTTCAGCGCTTGGAGGCTGAAACGCAGGTCGCGTTTTTGGCAATTATTTTTTGAATGGGGCGTTTTTTGGGGAATATAAAAATCGCAAATAGAGTTCGCGTTTGCAAAATTTGGTCGCGCGGATGATAAAGAGATGCGAATAGAGGAGACGAGACGAGAGATGACTGAGAGATGAGCAGAAGAGAGAGAGAGAGAGGGTACCGTAGGTAGCCATAGGCCGAGTGCGTTCAGGGCGCGAGTGCAAGAGCAGCGAAAGCCTCCGCAAGTTGAAAAACGTTCCTTAATTTGGCAGCGCAGCGGCGGGAAGAAAGAAGAAATGGATTTGGAAGACGGTGTATTAATGAGGAGCACTTCCTCAATCCCCTGCGGCCGCCGCCGCCCGATGCCGCTTTTCTTCTTCTTCTTCTCCCTTCTCGTGCTCGTCGTAGCAAGGCAGGAGGATTGAAGCAATCTCGATCCGACAACGACGTCTCCTGCCTGCCTCCTCTCCTCCTCCTCAACAGGATATTTGCCGGGACTCCAGCACAGCCCACAATTATTAGGAAGGGCAAATGAGGGGTTTTAACCCCAAAGTTTAAATGTTAAAATTAGTTCTTTTATTATTATTATTATTATTATTTTGTAATGTTTTTTTTTTGAGAAAAAGGATGGATTACCACAAAGGTAATCCAGCCAGCTAAATTAACAAAAATGGTTGTTACATAAAATACTCACCCCCAACCAAGAGTGAGTATTACAGTCCATATCAGCAACTACATACAAAGAAGAAAAACACCACCCCTCTGTACATACTCAAAAGAGGGAAGATAAAAAAAGATCTAACAAAAGACCAAAAGAAGAGCAGTTCACAATGTAACTGAGTTTTTAGTTTTAGAAAACAAAAAACATCACAGCTGCACCTTTTGTATCTCATCACTCTAGCTGAATCACCAAACTCTCCACATTTCTATCTTCATTTCTGGCCACTCCAGCAGCTTGGAGGCTAACAGCATTCCTCTTTTTCCGCCTCTCCTTCAGTCTAGCAGCTCGAGCAGAGACTCTTTCAGCACCTAGCAAAAAAGTTGCGAAGGTCATAATTTTGTTCAAGAGCTCAAGGGACTTCTTCTTTTTATCTGAAAAATTTCTATCGTTACGTTCTTGCCAAATGCACCAGACCAAAGAACAAATGATCACATCCCTTTTCAGCTTACTATTCGCAATATCTCCAGTCTTCCAATTAAGCCAAATATCTTTCAAAGAGTCTAAACTAAAAGTATTCTCAGTGTCCAATTTGAATTGAATCGATCTCCATATTGAGTAAACAAACTCACATTTGATGAAAAGATGTGTATGATTCTCCTCCAATTTAGAACATAAACAGCAAGTTTTATCCAAGAGGACTCCTTTCTTTTCCAGCACATCCTTTGTATTTAAGCTTTGTCTAAGTGCCAACCAAACTAGAACTTTCACTTTTAAAGGGATAGGAAGCTGCCATAAATTTGCACAATCATATCTTACACCCCCATCAATTAAAACTTGATAGAAAGACCTCACTGTGAAATTCCCTTTTGTTTCCCAAAGCCATTTCCTTGTATCATCCTTTTGCTCTAAACAAATGGAATTTATTAATCTCATCATAGAACAGTATTGGGGAACCAGAACCCCAACTACTTCTTTCTTAAACTGAATGTTCCATCTCCACATATTATCCTCTTTTTTTAACATGCTATTAATAGCAGCAAAAGGATACAAAGTTATAGCAAATAAGGATGGAAATAAAGAAGACAGAGTAAATGAGCCTAACCATTTGTCCAGCCAAAACAAAGTATGGTTTCCATTTCCAACTTCCACCTGAGAACTGCATAGAAAACTTTCAAAATTAACACTAAAATTTCTCCAAAAGCATGATAGAAGTTTTCTCCCAGAATGAATATAATCTGTCCAGCTTTTCTTTTCAAAATATTTGTAAAAACTAATTTGTTTCCAAATGCCAGGCCTTCCATCAAACCATTTCCAAAGCCATTTACCTAAAAGAGCTTTATTCATGATTCTCAAATTTATTATACCTAAACCACCACAGTGTCTAGGTCTACATATCTCCTCCCATTTCACCAAATTAGTGCATTTTTTGTTGTCTAAAGATCCAGTCCATAAGAATCTTCTCCTCATTTTATCAATTTTATCAATGATCCATGAAGGAAAAAGAAAAAAAGAAAGCTAGAAAATTGGCATAGAAGATAGAACTGAGTTGATTAAAACTAGTCTACCTCCTCTAGATAAAGATCTGCCTTTCCACAAAGATAATCTCCTTTCAATTTTATCAATCAAAGGGAGCCAGTCATTTTTCTTCAATTTACCAGGCCTTAAAGGCACTCCAAGATAAGTAATAGGAAAATTTCCACTTTTACAATTCAACATAATAGCCAAATTCTTTTGTAAAGGTTCATTATTCTTAAGAGTGATAAGAACACTCTTATTGAAATTAATCTTTAACCCTGATGCCAACTCAAAACAATACAAAATCAGTTTCAACACTATTAACTGTTCTCTTTTATTTTTACAAAAAATCAATGTATCATCAGCATACTGTAAACAAACAATTTTATGATCCATATTAACAGGGCCTAAGCCTTCAATAAGATAAGAGTTAACTGCTAAAGACAACATTCTGGTAAAAGCATCAGCTGCCAACACAAAAAGAAGTGGTGACAAAGGATCTCCTTGACGAACACCTCTTTTAGACATAATCCAACTTCCAGGTTTACCATTGATAGTAATAGCAGACATGCCTCCTTTTAAACACATATTCATCCAATTAATCCATTTCTCACCAAAGTTTTTAGCCTTTAAAACCTCCAACATAAAATCCCAATCTAACATATCATAGGCTTTTGAAAAGTCTAATTTTAAAAGAATTCCTCCTTTTTTATTATTTTGGAAACAGTCATCAATGATCTCTTGAGCTGCAGCTATCCCATCAATCAGCAATCTGTTCTTAATAAAACCAGACTGAACTGAATCAATAAGCCACTCAAGTTTGGGGTTTAATCTATTTGTCAAAACTTTTGTAATAATTTTGTAAATCACATTAAGGAGACTGATAGGTCTAAAATCATTAACAGTATTAGCCTCATTTTTCTTTGGAATAAGAACAATATGAGCATAATTAATTCTGTTAATCTCACCTTCATAAAATTCCTCAAAAAGCCTCATAATATCCCTTTTCACAGTCTCCCAAAAGACTTGGAAAAACAAAGCAGGAAAACCATCAGGACCAGGGGACTTATCACCATTCATATCAAAAATGGCTTTATGAATTTCTTCCTCAGAAAAAGGAATTTCAATATCCCTAGGACTCCAATCAACAAAAGGGAATAAACCATTCCAATCTAGCTGACATCTATGAGACACCTTTTGACCAAATATCTGTTTGTAATGTTCTGAAAAAATCTGAGCTATACCAAACTCAGAACTTACTTCAACATCATTATGCATGATGGAAGAAATCAAATTATTCCTCTTCCTACCATTGGCAATTTTATGAAAATATGCAGTATTGTTATCCCCTTCTTTAAGCCAATGAGCTTTTGATCTTTGTTTCCACATTTGCTCCTCTTGAAGCAGAATCTCATTTAATTGAATGATAATCTTATTTTTTTTAATTACTTCATCATCCTCTAAATCTCTATTCTCCTCCATAACATCCCATTCTAACAGACTGTCCAACAGATCTTTCTTTTTTTGTTTAACACTATAAAACTTTGAATGTACCCATTGCTTGATACACTTTCTCATAAATCTTACTTTACCCACCATGTTTTTAGCAGCAGATTCACTCTTAGGAGCACAATTCCACCAGATAGGTACACTTTTCATAAAATCATCAGACTGTAACCAAATTTTTTCAAATCTAAAATTTTTTACTTGTTGTTGATTTTCCCCACAGTCAAAACTAATAGGAGCATGGTCAGATAACTGGCTGCTAAGACCTTGTTGTCTAGAAAAAAGAAAGAAATCTTCCCATTCAGAGTTAAAGAAAACTCTGTCAAGTCTAGCCATAGAAGGAGATCTTCTTTTATTTGTCCAAGTAAACTTTCTTCCATGAAGAGGACTATCTATTAATTCCAACTCATTAATCACTTCTTTAAAATCTTCCATATCTTTTCTGTGATTAGTTTTCCCTTTTCTTTCTGCAGAATTAATAGTGACATTAAAATCACCAACCACAACCCAAGGTCCAGAAAAAGAGTTTTTAACATCTCTCAGTTCTTGCCAAAAAAGAACTCTCTCCTTATTACAATGAGGACCATATACAGAAGAGATGGTCCATATACAGAAGAGATGGTCCATATAAAGCCATTCTTCTTATTTTTTAACATAACTGACAAAACATGCTTACCAGCAATTTCCTGATTTTTCTTCCAAACATTGTTATTCCAGCCAACCATAATTCCACCAGAAGCCCCATTAGAAGGTACAAAAGCCCAATCATACATGTTACCTCCCAGACTTTTAAAAATATTGTCAGTACAACAACTTAACTTTGTCTCTTGCAAACAAATAATTTCAAATTTATTCATTTGACAAAAATCTTTAACTCCAAATCTTTTTGAGCTCAAGCCCAATCCTCTTACATTCCATGTAACTAACATAGACAACAAAACAAACTCCTCAAATCAAAACTGGAGCCTACTCAAAAGTAGCTCTCTCCTGTTCCATCTGCCTCACTTTTTCAAGGGGATCAAAATTCCCTTGAGGCTCAAGAATGATGGCACATTTAGAAGCATAATTTTGTAACTGCTTATTAGAACAAGCATCAAATAGAATTGGAGCAAAATTAGAGCCCAAAGAAGAAGAGTTTTCACCTGATTCACTAGCAGAGGCACCTGGAATATTCTGTAAGATATTTTTCTTTGCAGCTCTGGATGTAGCCCTATCCAGTGCAGACATGGGTTCCATATCCACAAACCTTGAACATCTTCTGACAAAATTAACGTTAGGAACAGCTTCATATTCCATGGGTGGTAAAGAGTTCAGAGGTTGAATAATAGGAATATCCTCTTCCTTCTCTGAGATTTCCTCAATGCTGGAATGCTTTGGAAGAATTATCCATTTATCAGCCTCACTATTATCATTCTTAGCAGAACTTTCTTCATTAAAAGAAGTCTCTCCCTCTTTGAAATCTGTCATATCTTCCCTGATAAGAGTCATATTAGATTCCTTTTCACATTGAGAATTCTTTTCAACTTCTTCACCATTACCCTCACCACACTCCATTATTTGATCAGGAAGAACTCCAATATCATTCATCTTTATCTGTTCTGACTGTTGTTCAACCCCCAGATCAATCAGCTGCTCAAAATAATCTTCCACATCAGTTACCACCTGTTCTGGTTGTTGCTCCACATCAACATCTATTGATATCTTCTCTCCCCAAGTTCCTCACTCAGATTTTTTATTCTGATAGAAGACTTTTGCATCAGCCCATAATCTGGCAGCAGGAGAATTCCATGGATTATTCCTCAAGTCTTGCTTAACATTCCATGAAGTGGTTTCAGATCCTTTCAGAGAAGAAGAACCAGATCCACTATCCTTCCTTCCTTTAAACCATTTATCTTGATAAGAACTTTGGTTAGTATCATCCAGTTGGTCCACCTTTTGTTTTTTCTTTTCCCCTTCATTTGCTTCACCCATAATAGACATGATAGAAACTTCAATGTTATATTGATTCTTTCCAACAACAACCTTCAAAATTTTAGGAATGTCTATATACTCTAAGCAACAAACCAACATTACAGCATCCACAAACTCTGTACATGCATTTGTTAATGAATCCAATTCAACAAGATCAGCAAAAGGCTTAACCATCAAGTCAAAAGATTCTTTATTCCACAGATGAGGTGGAACATTTTTCATTTTAATCCACACAAATGATTTTCTTTTTTCTACCACATTTCCTTCCCAAGCACTCCATCTTCTAAATTTAATTTTACACGATCTCAAGTTGATTACCCCCATTCTAATCAGATCATCCATTTGTTTCCATGGTTGAATTTTAACCAAAACTTCACCATTAGTAAACAACCTCACATCCCAGTGCTTATTCATAGGAAAATAAGCTCTCAAATCCAATTCTAATCTTTCCAGAGAAATATTACCTCCTTCAACGAAGTTAATTCTAGTTTTCAGAAGTTTAGAAACTTTGCTATAGTTTCTTTTGTTGAAGGAGGTAATATTTCTCTGGAAAGATTAGAATTGGATTTGAGAGCTTATTTTCCTATGAATAAGCACTGGGATGTGAGGTTGTTTACTAATGGTGAAGTTTTGGTTAAAATTCAACCATGGAAACAAATGGATGATCTGATTAGAATGGGGGTAATCAACTTGAGATCGTGTAAAATTAAATTTAGAAGATGGAGTGCTTGGGAAGGAAATGTGGTAGAAAAAAGAAAAGCATTTGTGTGGATTAAAATGAAAAATGTTCCACCTCATCTGTGGAATAAAGAATTTTGGGGAGGCGGCGGTTTAGGGTTTCTCTTCACAACATTCACCCATTCCCATTTAGAAATATCTTCCTTCAGTTCTTCTTGGGATCTCCGCGATGGATCAATCCCCACCGCAAACTTTAACCCTAGTTCATCAAACTTAACCCTAGTTTTCTCACCTTGGGTTTGAAGAGAATGATTGGGCTCAGAAAATTTCGAAACAGAAGAAAAATAATGCTCTCCCCAAATATTGCGGGCCATGAATTCCTTTGGATTCGGCTCATGACCCAAATCCATTCCCAAAAAATCCATCACAGACCAAAAAAAGAACAAGAAAATAGGAAAAATCTAAAATCAACGAGAAAAACAAAAAATGAAGATTGAAAATAGAAACCCTAGACTCGAAGATTTCCTGAATATCTCAGATCCCAGAAGAAAATCTAAGATCAACGAGAAAAAATCGCCTTGCTGAAAAAATCGCCTCCGAATCGCCTAAGCTGAAAGGATATTTGATAATGAAATGCCGTAGTGAAGGAGAAAATTTATTATTTTGCAATGTTGAGGTCTCTCACATTTCTCTGCAAGCTTTTATGGGCACACTAGAACTTTA